TGTAGACAATATGACTACCTCTTCGGCTGCCACTATGTCGACCAAATGTAGGGACAATTTGATTTCCAAATTCAATCACCTCTCCAGCAAAAAATCGGTCCCACACACTGAAAAGATAGACGTCAACAAAGTCGTAATTAATCGCAGTAACAGTTCCATTTCTGATGGTCTGAAATCCGTTTTAGCTAAAGGTCTAAACTTTGCTGTCACACTGAGACACTTACCGGTTAATGATATCATTGCCCATGTCGACGTTGCACTCAAGGGCTTGAGTCCCATCGCTGCAGACGTAGCAAGATCTGAAATCGCTGCAACCCTCAAAAACGCTAAGTTGCCACCCAGCAACATCAGCAAAGACGAACGTTTTGAATTATCTCAATTAAAAAAGAGGGATGATATTGTCGCCCTCTCAGCCGACAAGGGCAATGCCACTGTCATCATGGACAAAACAGAATATAACAACAAAATTCAAGAGCTACTCAACGATGGCAGCTATACAAAAATAAAAAGAGATCCCACCAACAGCCTGGTTACCAAAACGAACAAAATCATCTCTGATTCAACATCATTAATTGATGAGACCAAACAGTTCTCGTTGAAACCCTCTGCTGCCAGACCACCAAGATTATATGGCCTTCCAAAGATACACAAAGAAGATACACCCCTTCGTCCCATCGCCTAGTATCGACAATCAAAGGCATTTCCCTGTCCCCAGACGACCTGCTTGTCAGTTTTGATGTGGTGTCCTTGTTCACCAAAGTCCCGGTACCTGACACCATCGCTATCATTGAAGACCTGGTTCATCAAGGACTGCACACCGATGTACCCCCCTGGTGAGACATTGCTTAACCAACACATACTTCACCTGGAATGGAAATTTCTACAAACAAACTGAGGGCACCCCAATGGGCTCCCCCCTATCTCCGGTTGTAGCCAACGTATTCATGGAAAAATTTGAAACTGACGCAATCCAGACTGCCACTCTATGCCCGACCTTATGGAAGAGGTACGTGGATGACACCTTTGTCATCTGGCCACATGGCCAGCCTGCTCTAGACCAATTCCGCGACCACATCAATTCCATACACCCAGCCATCAGATTTACCATGGAGGTCGAAAAAGATGGCAAACTACCCTTTTTGGATGTCTTAATTAAAAGGAGACATGATGGTTCAATGAGCCACTCTGTCTACAGGAAAGCCACCCATACAGATGCTTACTTGAAACCGGATTCCCACCACCATCCATCACAGAAGAACTCCCTCATCAAGACTCTATACCATAGAGCCCAATGCATTTCCGACCAGGAACACATTGCCAGTGAACTCAAGCACGTACACCAGGCTCTCAGGGCTAATGGTTACTCCGACTACACAATCCGCAAAGCCATCACTCCAGTCATGAAGAAGGATTCTCTTGTGGAGCCACTCAAAACCATCACCTTACCCTACATTGCAGGTGTCACTAAAAAGATCTCCAAAATCCTGAATAAACACAAGATCCAGGTCCGATTCAACACAATACATAAAATCCGTGATCTAGTTCCATCTGTAAAAGATGCTGTTCCAGACATACAGTACCCGGGCGTTTACAAACTAAAGTGCCTCTGTGGTAGTAGCTACATTGGAGAAACCAAACGACATATCTCGGACCGCATCCGTGAACATAAAGCAGACTTGAAACACGGTAGGACGAACTCCTCTGCCGTGGCAGATCACTGTTATAATTCAGTGGGCTCACATGACATTGACTTCTCCAAGACGGAGGTTCTTTGCAAACCAACCGGCTACCATGAGAGATTCGTTCATGAGGCCATTCACATATACAAGCACAGAGACAATTTCAACCGAGAAGATGGATTCTGGCTTAGTAACCATTGGAAAGATGTTTTAAACCGTTTCTGTTCTTAATTAATTGTATTTTACGATGACCTTCAGACCGCAGCTCTTTCACCAGCATTGACTCTTAATACCTCTCACACCACGGTTAATGGTATGGTTTACAACATGGAGTATAATAGCGCCTCGCAGCTGTCTCTCTCCCCCTCCTCTGTTCCGACCTTGGATGAACTCGTCCGTCTGAACGGGGCCCGTAGCTATCCGTGTTGCTAAAGTTGAGGGTAAGAATCCACCCATTTTGTCGCCATATAGCATTGTGATATATAACGACTTCTTGTTGGTAGCTTAACTGATTGGAGAATATAGAGTTGATTGATAACATTAAGGTAATTTATATTTTAGGTTTTTTATTGGTTCACTATGTAGTATTCATTATACATTGTATTGTATACCCGTTACTGTGAATAGCTCAGATGTGTAGACCTTGACTTCAACATAGCCATTTCTGTGACCAGACACTAGCTAATCACTCAGTTATTTCAATGCTAAATTCGCCTAGTTATTTCAATGCTAAATTCTCCTGTTTGATTTGTACTAGGTGCCTCGGTGAATGTGTATGCTCTGACTTTAAACATAGCTATTTCTGTGACCAGTTACAAGCTAATCACTCAGCTATTTCATTGCTAAATTCTATGCTAATTCCTTTGTCAAGGGGTGCCTCTGCAGATGTGTATGCTTTAACTTAGCTATTTCAATGCTGAATTCTATGCTAATTGCTTTGTCAAGGGGTGCCTCTGCAGATGTGTATGTTTTAACTTTAACATAGCCATTTCTGTGACCAGTCACAAGCTAATCACTCGGCCATTTCAATGCTAAATTGTATGCTAATTCCTTTGTCAATGCGCTTTGTTTCTTCTGACACAGCTTAAAGGTCGTGATCTTAACGTGGCTTTTTTCACTCCAGCGCTGTCCTACCAGACAGTCTCGTCCCTTCACCTGATGAAGGCCGCTTGTGTTGTGGCCGAAACGTCGTGAGAATATTATTGTGTTATTTTATTTTATCAATTTATTATTTTATTCTCATTCTACGTGACTTTACCGAAAGAACCAAAGAAGATTAATCCTTGCAGTCACGAAAGCTTTAAAGTGCTGTACTAGTATACTACACTATACACTACACTATACACTAGTGCTGTACTAGTATACTACACTATACACTAGTGCTGTACTAGTATACTACACTATACACTAGTGCTGTACTAGTATACTACACTATACACTACACTATACACTAGTACACTACACTATACACTACACTATACACTAGTGCTGTACTAGTATGCTACACTATACACTAGTGCTGTACTAGTACACTACACTATACATTCGTGCTGTACTAGTATTCTACACTATACACTAGTGCTGTACTAGTATACTACACTATACACTACACTATACACTAGTACACTACACTATACACTAGTGCTGTACTAGTATACACTATACACTACACTATACACTAGTGCTGTACTAGTATACTACACTATACACTAGTGCTGTACTAGTATACTACACTATACACTAGTGCTGTACTAGTATACTACACTATACACTACACTATACACTAGTACACTACACTATACACTACACTATACACTAGTGCTGTACTAGTATGCTACACTATACACTAGTGCTGTACTAGTACACTACACTATACATTCGTGCTGTACTAGTATTCTACACTATACACTAGTGCTGTACTAGTATACTACACTATACACTACACTATACACTAGTACACTACACTATACACTAGTGCTGTACTAGTATACACTATACACTACACTATACACTAGTGCTGTACTAGTATACTACACTATACACTAGTACACTACACTATACACTAGTGCTGTACTAGTATACACTATACACTACACTATACACTAGTGCTGTACTAGTATACTACACTATACACTAGTACACTACACTATACACTAGTGCAGTACTAGTATACTACACTATATACTACACTATACACTAGTACACTACACTATACACTAGTGCTGTACTAGTATACTACACTATACACTACATTATACACTAGTGCAGTACTAGTATACTACACTAGATACTACACTATACACTAGTACACTACACTATACACTAGTGCTGTACTAGTATACTACACTATACACTAGTGCTGTACTAGTACACTACACTATACACTACACTATACACTAGTGCTGTACTAGTACACTACACTATACACTACACTATACACTAGTACACTACACTATACACTAGTGCTGTACTAGTATACTACACTATATACTACACTATACACTAGTACACTACACTATACACTAGTGCTGTACTAGTATACTACACTATACACTAGTGCTGTACTAGTACACTACACTATACACTAGTGCTGTACTAGTATACTACACTACACCATACACTCGTGCAGGAGGGGGTAGGCTTGGTAGAGGCCACGTGCCCAGTCTTGTACCGCATCTTGTCACTGCTGTGCAGATTCCAGGGCCACCTTCCCCTACCACTATGCAGATTCCAGGGCCGCATCCCCCCACCCTCCCCCAGGCTATGCAGATTCTGGGGCTGCATCCACCACCCCCTCCCTCCCCGGCTATGCAGATTCCGGGGCACAGGGGCAGCTGCTATTCAAATTCCAGGGTCTCTCCCACCCCCAACCACCCCCCCCACTCATCCACCGCTCCACGCTTCCTCGCTCCGTCTCCTCCAGAGAGGTTCCACGCGCTCCACCACCACCCCCACCACCTCCACCACCCCCACCACCTCCACTATCACCACCACCCTCCTCCACCACCTCCACCACCACCTCCACCCTCCTCCACCACCTCCACCACCACCTCCACCCTCCACCACCTCCACCACCACCACACTCCTCCACCCTCCTCCTCCACTACCACCACCCTCCTCCACCTCAACCACCACCTCCACCACCCCCACCACCTCCACCACCACCTCCACCCTCCTCCACCACCACCACACTCCTCCACCCTCCTCCTCCACTACCACCACCACCCTCCTCCACCTCAACCACCACCACCACTACCACCTCCACCCTCCTCCACCACCTCCACCACCACCTCCACCCTCCTCCACCACCACCACATTCCTCCACCCTCCTCCTCCACTACCACCACCCTCCTCCACCTCAACCACCACCTCCTCCTGCTCCATCCTTCTCGCTCGAAGCCTCTCAGCGTGGAGCTCTTCCTGCTGCTGCTTTGGCTGAGTAAGTGACCAGGTGTAGTGAGTGACCAGGTGTAGTGAGTGACCAGGTGTGGTGAGTAGCCAGGTGTAGTGAGTGACCAGGTGTGGTGAGTGACCAGGTGTAGTGAGTGACCAGGTGTGGTGAGTGACCAGGTGTAGTGAGTGACCAGGTGTAGTGAGTGACCAGGTGTAGTGAGTGACCAGGTGTAGTGAGTGACCAGGTGTAGTGAGTAGCCAGGTGGTGAGTGAGTAGCCAGGTGTAGTGAGTGACCAGGTGTAGTGAGTGACCAGGTGTAGTGAGTGACCAGGTGTGGTGAGTGACCAGGTGTGGTGAGTAGCCAGGTGTAGTGAGTAGCCAGGTGGTGAGTGAGTAGCCAGGTGTAGTTAGTGACCAGGTGTAGTGAGTGACCAGGTGTAGTGAGTGACCAGGTGTAGTGAGTGACCAGGTGTGGTGAGTGACCAGGTGTAGTGAGTGACCAGGTGTAGTGAGTGACCAGGTGTGGTGAGTGACCAGGTGTAGTGAGTGACCAGGTGTAGTGAGTGACCAGGTGTAGTGAGTGACCAGGTGTAGTGATTGACCAGGTGTAGTGAGTGACCAGGTGTAGTGAGTAGCCAGGTGTAGTGAGTGACCAGGTGTGGTGAGTGACCAGGTGTAGTGAGTGACCAGGTGTAGTGGGTGACCAGGTGTGGTGAGTGACCAGGTGTAGTGAGTGACCAGGTGTAGTGAGTGACCAGGTGTGGTGAGTGACCAGGTGTGGTGAGTGACCAGGTGTAGTGAGTGACCAGGTGTGGTGAGTGACCAGGTGTGGTGAGTGACCAGGTGTAGTGAGTGACCAGGTGTGGTGAGTGACCAGGTGTAGTGAGTGACCAGGTGTGGTGAGTGACCAGGTGTAGTGAGTGACCAGGTGTGGTGAGTGACCAGGTGTAGTGAGTGACCAGGTGTGGTGAGTGACCAGGTGTAGTGAGTAGCCAGGTGTGGTGAGTGACCAGGTGTAGTGAGTGACCAGGTGTGGTGAGTAGCCAGGTGTGGTGAGTGACCAGGTGTAGTGAGTGACCAGGTGTGGTGAGTAGCCAGGTGTAGTGAGTGACCAGGTGAAGTGAGTGACCAGGTGTAGTGAGTGACCAGGTGTAGTGAGTGACCAGGTGTGGTGAGTGACCAGGTGTGGTGAGTGACCAGGTGTGGTGAGTGACCAGGTGTAGTGAGTGACCAGGTGTGGTGAGTGACCAGGTGTGGTGAGTGAGTAGCCAGGTGTGGTGAGTGACCAGGTGTGGTGAGTGACCAGGTGTGGTGAGTGACCAGGTGTAGTGAGTGACCAGGTGTAGTGAGTGACCAGGTGTAGTGAGTGACCAGGTGTAGTGAGTGACCAGGTGTGGTGAGTGACCAGGTGTAGTGAGTGACCAGGTGTGGTGAGTGACCAGGTGTAGTGAGTGACCAGGTGTGGTGTGGTGTGGTGAGTGACCAGGTGTAGTGAGTGACCAGGTGTGGTGAGTGACCAGGTGTAGTGAGTGACCAGGTGTGGTGAGTGACCAGGTGTAGTGAGTGACCAGGTGTGGTGTGGTGTGGTGAGTGACCAGGTGTAGTGAGTGACCAGGTGTGGTGAGTGACCAGGTGTAGTGAGTGACCAGGTGTGGTGAGTGACCAGGTGTGGTGAGTGACCAGGTGTAGTGAGTGACCAGGTGTGGTGTGGTGAGTGACCAGGTGTGGTGAGTGACCAGGTGTAGTGAGTGACCAGGTGTAGTGAGTGACCAGGTGTGGTGAGTGACCAGGTGTAGTGAGTGACCAGGTGTGGTGAGTGAGTGACCAGGTGTGGTGAGTGACCAGGTCTAGTGAGTGACCAGGTGTAGTGAGTGACCAGGTGTGGTGAGTGACCAGGTGTGGTGAGTGACCAGGTGTAGTGAGTGACCAGGTGTAGTGAGTGACCAGGTGTGGTGAGTGACCAGGTGTAGTGAGTGACCAGGTGTGGTGAGTGACCAGGTGTGGTGAGTGACCAGGTGTGGTGAGTGACCAGGTGAAGTGAGTGACCAGGTGTGGTGAGTAGCCAGGTGTAGTGAGTGACCAGGTGTGGTGAGTGACCAGGTGCAGTGAGTGACCAGGTGAAGTGAGTGACCAGGTGTAGTGAGTGACCAGGTGTAGTGAGTGACCAGGTGTAGTGAGTGACCAGGTGAAGTGAGTGACCAGGTGTGGTGAGTGACCAGGTGCAGTGAGTGACCAGGTGAAGTGAGTGACCAGGTGTGGTGAGTGACCAGGTGTGGTGAGTGACCAGGTGTGGTGAGTGACCAGGTGTGGTGTGGTGAGTGACCAGGTGTGGTGAGTGACCAGGTGTAGTGAGTGACCAGGTGTGGTGTGGTGAGTGACCAGGTGTGGTGAGTGACCAGGTGTGGTGAGTGACCAGGTGTGGTGAGTGACCAGGTGTAGTGAGTGACCAGGTGTAGTGAGTGACCAGGTGTAGTGAGTGACCAGGTGTAGTGAGTGACCAGGTGTGGTGAGTAGCCAGGTGTGGTGATGACCAGGTGTAGTGAGTGACCAGGTGTGGTGAGTGACCAGGTGTAGTGAGTGACCAGGTGTAGTGAGTGACCAGGTGTAGTGAGTGAGTGACCAGGTGTGGTGAGTGACCAGGTGTAGTGAGTGACCAGGTGTAGTGAGTGACCAGGTGTAGTGAGTGACCAGGTGTGGTGAGTGACCAGGTGTAGTGAGTGACCAGGTGTGGTGAGTGACCAGGTGTAGTGAGTGACCAGGTGTGGTGAGTGACCAGGTGTGGTGAGTGACCAGGTGTGGTGAGTGACCAGGTGGGGTGAGTGACCAGGTGTGGTGAGTGACCAGGTGTGGTGAGTGACCAGGTGTAGTGAGTGACCAGGTGTGGTGAGTGAGTGACCAGGTGTGGTGAGTGAGTGACCAGGTGTAGTGAGTGACCAGGTGTAGTGAGTGACCAGGTGTGGTGAGTGAGTAGCCAGGTGTAGTGAGTGACCAGGTGTAGTGAGTGACCAGGTGTGGTGAGTAGCCAGGTGTGGTGAGTGACCAGGTGTGGTGAGTGACCAGGTGTAGTGAGTGACCAGGTGTGGTGAGTGACCAGGTGTAGTGAGTGACCAGGTGTGGTGAGTGACCAGGTGTAGTGAGTGACCAGGTGTGGAGAGTGACCAGGTGTAGTGAGTGACCAGGTGTGGTGAGTGACCAGGTGTAGTGAGTGACCAGGTGTAGTGAGTGACCAGGTGTGGTGAGTGACCAGGTGTAGTGAGTGACCAGGTGTAGTGAGTGACCAGGTGTGGTGTGGTGAGTGACCAGGTGTAGTGAGTGACCAGGTGTAGTGAGTGACCAGGTGTGGTGAGTGACCAGGTGTGGTGAGTGAGTGACCAGGTGTGGTGAGTGACCAGGTGTAGTGAGTGACCAGGTGTAGTGAGTGACCAGGTGTGGTGAGTGACCAGGTGTGGTGAGTGAGTGACCAGGTGTAGTGAGTGACCAGGTGTAGTGAGTGACCAGGTGTAGTGAGTGACCAGGTGTGGTGAGTAGCCAGGTGTAGTGAGTGACCAGGTGTAGTGAGTGACCAGGTGTAGTGAGTGACCAGGTGTGGTGAGTGACCAGGTGTAGTGAGTGACCAGGTGTGGTGAGTGACCAGGTGTGGTGTAGTGAGTGACCAGGTGTAGTGAGTGACCAGGTGTAGTGAGTGACCAGGTGTGGTGAGTGACCAGGTGTGGTGAGTAGCCAGGTGCGTGAGTCTGTGGTCTCCGTGTGAGTCTCTGTATCTCTTGCGTGAGTCTGTGAGTCTCTGTATGAGTCTCCGGATCTCTTGCGTGAGTCTGTGAGTCTCCGTGTGAGTCTCTGTATCTCTTGCGTGAGTCTGTGAGTCTCCGTGTGAGTCTCAAGTTCTCTTGCGTGAGTCTGTGGGTCTCTGTATGAGTCTCCGGTTCTCTTGCGTGAGTCTGTGGGTCTCTGTGTGAGTCTGTGGGTCTCCGTGTGAGTCTGTGGGTCTCTGTGTGAGTCTCCAGTTCTCTTGCGTGAGTCTGTGGGTCTCCATGTGAGTCTCCGTGTCTCTGTGTGAGTCTGTGAGTCTCCGTGTGAGTCTCTGTATCTCTTGCGTAAGTCTGTTAGTCTCTGTATGAGTCTCTGTATCTCTTGCGTGAGTCTGTGAGTCTCTGTATGAGTCTCCGGATCTCTTGCGTGAGTCTGTGAGTCTCCGTGTGAGTCTCCAGTTCCCTTGCGTGAGTCTGTGGGTCTCTATGAGTCTCCGGTTCTCTTGCGTGAGTCTGTGGGTCTCTGTGTGAGTCTGTGGGTCTCCGTGTGAGCCTGTGGGTCTCTGTGTGAGTCTCCATTTCTCTTGCGTGAGTCTGTGGGTCTCCGTGTGAGTCTCTGTATCTCTTGCGTGAGTCTGTGAGTCTCCGTGTGAGTCTCCGTGTCTCTGTGTGAGTCTGTGTGTCTCCCTGTGAGTCTCTGTATCTCTTGTGTGAGTCTGTGGGTCTCCGTGTGATTCTCTGTATCTCTTGCGTGAGTCTGAGGGTCTCCGTGTGAGTCTCCGTGTGAGTCTCTGTATCTCTTGCGTGAGTCTGTGAGTCTCCGTGTGAGTCTCTGTATCTCTTGCGTGAGTCTGTTAGTCTCTGTATGAGTCTCTGTATCTCTTGCGTGAGTCTGTGTGTCTCCGTGTGAGTCTCCGTGTCTCCGTGTGAGTCTGTGGGTCTCCGTGTGAGTCTGTGGGTCTCCTTGTCTCCGTGTGAGTCTGTGGGTGTCCTTGTGAGTCTCCGTGTCTCCGTGTGAGCCTACGTGTCTCCGTGTGAGTCTAAGTCTACGTGCCTCCGTGTGAGCCTGTGGGTCTCCGTGTGAGTCTCCATGTCTCCGTGTCAGTCTATGGGTCTCTGTGTGGTGAGTCTATGGGTCTCTGTGTGAGTCTGTGGGTCTCTGTGTGAGTCTATGGGTCTCCGGGTGAGTTTTTGAATCTCCGTGTGAGTCTCCGTGTCTCCGCGTGAGTCTACGTGTCTCCGTGTGAGTCTGTGGGTCTCCGTGTGAGTCTCCGTGTGAGTCTCCGTGTGAGTCTCCGTGTCTCCGTGTGAGTCTACGTGTCTCCGTGTGAGTCTGTGGGTCTCTGTGTGAGTCTATGGGTCTCCGGGTGAGTTTTTGGATCTCCGTGTGAGTCTGTGGGTCTCCGTGTGAGTCTACATGTCTCCGTGTGAGTTTGTGGGTCTCCGTGTGGGTCTCCGTGTCTCCGCGTGAGTCTCCGTGTCTCCGTGTGAGTCTCCGTGCCTCCGTGTGAGTCTGTGGGTCTCCGTGTGTCTGTGTCAGTCTACGCGTACGTAGCCGACAGCGCCCATCGGAGGCGCGGTGAGTCGGAGGTCGGGCGATTGCCGCGCCGTTTGGTGCCACCTCGGTGGTGTCGTGCCCGCAGGTGACGCGACGGAGCGACGGAGGCCGCAGGAGGAGATCCTCCCGGCCGTGAGATGTCGCGTCGTAGAGGGGCCAACGAGCCACGGAGACACCCTGCTGCTGCTGATGCTGCCGGTGAGTAGGCCTCTAGGTGCACCTAGCCTGGCACCAGTGGCCGTGATGGTGGCGGTGGCGTCCCAGGACACCCTAACGATGCCTGCTGCTGCGTATTTGGCGTCTGCGTCTCCTTCTGTCACTCTTCGCGTGGTGAGATGTTAACGACATCGCCCGCGTTGCAGGATGCCGTGGGTTCGATCCCAAACGCGGCGCTATTACGATGGATAGGGGATTGTCAGGGTCGGGATCGAACCCACGACCCTCCTGCACACCGGGCGAGGTAGTCAACATCTCCTAGCCACCGTGATGATGATGATGATGATGACAGAGAGAGAGACGCAGACTCCAAATATACAGCAGCAGCAGCAGCAGGCGTCATCAGGGTCGGGATCGAACCCACGACCCTCCTGCACACCGGGCGAGGTAGTCCAACATCTCACCACCGTCGGTCGCTTGGGGGACAGGAGACGTGGAGGAGGAGGAGGATGAGGATGAGGAGGAGGATGAGGAGGAGGAGTCCCCTTCTCTGCCCGTGGAGCTGCTCGTGAAGCGAGAGGAGGAGGAGGAGGAGGCGGAGGAGGCGGAGGCGGGCGACGAGGGGAAGCCGCCAGCGCCCCCCGAGCACGACGCGGCGGCCAGCGCCGGGCGCCCGCTGCTCGTCAAAGAGGAGGAGAGCGGCTGGGCGCGGCGGTGCGGGGGGGCGGGGTCAGCGGCGGTGGCCACGGCCTCGGCGTGGGGCGGCGGCGGCGGCGGCGGCGGCGGCGGTGGGGGCGGCGCTCCGGCGACGATGGACGTGGACCGGCGCCGCCGACGACGCCGCCGGGCGTGGGTGGCGGCGGCGGCGGCGGCGGCGGCATCGCCGGAGGTGGCCGAGATCGAGGTGGTCCTGGAGGAGGAGGACGGTAATGGTGGTGGGGGGTCGGGGGAGAAGGGTGGGGGGTGCGGTCTCAGTGGGGGCCCCTTGCTGGCTAGGAGATGTTGACTACCTCGCCTGGTACGCAGGAGGTCGTGGGTTCGATCTCGGACCCTGACGACACCTGTAGCTCACTGTAGCTCGTGAGATGTTGACTACCTCGCCTGGTACGCAGGAGGTCGTGGGTTCGATCCCGGACCCTGACGACGCCTGTAGCCACTGTAGCTCGTGAGATGTTGACTACCTCGCCTGGTACGCAGGAGGTCGTGGGTTCGATCCCGGACCCTGACGACACCTGTAGCTCACTGTAGCTCGTGAGATGTTGACGACCTCGCCTGGTATGCAGGAGGTCGTGGGTTCGATCCCCGACCCTGACGACACCTGTAGCTCACTGTAGCTCGTGAGATGTTGACGACCTCGCCTGGTACGCAGGAGGTCGTGGGTTCGATCCCGGACCCTGACGACGCCTGTAGCCACTGTAGCTCGTGAGATGTTGACTACCTCGCCTGGTACGCAGGAGGTCGTGGGTTCGATCCCGACCCTGACGACGCCTGTAGCCACTGTAGCTCGTGAGATGTTGACGACCTCGCCTGGTACGCAGGAGGTCGTGGGTTCGATCCCGACCCTGACGACGCCTGTAGCCACTGTAGCTCGTGAGATGTTGACTACCTCGCCTGGTACGCAGGAGGTCGTGGGTTCGATCCCCGACCCTGACGACACCTGTAGCTCACTGTAGCTCGTGAGATGTTGACTACCTCGCCTGGTACGCAGGAGGTCGTGGGTTCGATCCCGACCCTGACGACGCCTGTAGCCACTGTAGCTCGTGAGATGTTGACTACCTCGCCTGGTACGCAGGAGGTCGTGGGTTCGATCCCGACCCTGACGACACCTGTAGCCACTGTAGCTCGTGAGATGTTGACTACCTCGCCTGGTACGCAGGAGGTCGTGGGTTCGATCCCGACCCTGACGACACCTGTAGCCACTGTAGCTCGTGAGATGTTGACGACCTCGCCTGGTACGCAGGAGGTCGTGGGTTCGATCCCGACCCTGACGACGCCTGTAGCCACTGTAGCTCGTGAGATGTTTACTACCTCGCCTGGTACGCAGGAGGTCGTGGGTTCGATCCCGACCCTGACGACACCTGTAGCCACTGTAGCTCGTGAGATGTTGACTACCTCGCCTGGTACGCAGGAGGTCGTGGGTTCGATCCCGACCCTGACGACACCTGTAGCCACTGTAGCTCGTGAGATGTTGACTACCTCGCCTGGTACGCAGGAGGTCGTGGGTTCGATCCCGACCCTGACGACACCTGTAGCCACTGTAGCTCGTGAGATGTTGACTACCTCGCCTAGTACGCAGGAGGTCGTGGGTTCGATCCCGACCCTGACGATGCCTGTAGCCACTGTAGCTCGTGAGATGTTGACTACCTCGCCTGGTACGCAGGAGGTCGTGGGTTCGATCCCGACCCTGACGACGCCTGTAGCCACTGTAGCTCGTGAGATGTTGACAACCTCGCCTGGTACGCAGGAGGTCGTGGGTTCGATCCCGACCCTGACGACACCTGTAGCCACTGTAGCTCGTGAGATGTTGACTACCTCGCCTGGTACGCAGGAGGTCGTGGGTTCGATCCCGACCCTGACGACGCCTGTAGCCACTGTAGCTCGTGAGATGTTGACGACCTCGCCTGGTACGCAGGAGGTCGTGGGTTCGATCCCGACCCTGACGACGCCTGTAGCCACTGTAGCTCGTGAGATGTTGACGACCTCGCCTGGTACGCAGGAGGTCGTGGGTTCGATCCCGACCCTGACAACACCTGCTGCTGCTGCTGCTGTAGATTAGGAGTCTGCGCTCCCCTCTCTCTCTCTCTTCCCGTAGTCGCGTGGAGTTTTTGCCTCCGCATTTAGAATCGTGTAGTGTATAGTGTAGTGTATAGTGTGGTGTATAGTGTTGGAGTGTATAGTATAGTGTGTAGTGTATAGTAGTGTAGTGTAGAGTAGTGTATAGTGTACAGTGTATAGTGTTGGAGTGTATAGGATAGTGTAGTGTATAGTAGTGTAGTGTATAGTGTAGTGTTTAGTGTATAAAGCATCTGAAACTAGTGGGCGACGATGCGGTGAGCAGCGTTTTTGTTCGACAGCCGGCCAAAAGCCGCCCCGTCGCTGCTGCTGCTGACCACGCGAGTTCGTGTGACATTGGCGTTGACGTTGTTGTTGTTGTTGTTGTCGTCGGTGATTTTTGTTGTGGTGGTGGTTGTTGGCTTTGCCGTTCAGGAACGCGCCGAGCTACGGTTCCCGGTGCGGCCTCGGAGGCGTCGCCACCGAACACCGCGACGGTCGGCATCCCCAACGCCCCCAACGGTCAGTTCCACCGTTGGACATCACAGCGAGGTCCACAGCACCGCCACACTACCACCACACCACCACAACCACCACACAACCACCGCCACCACGCCACCACACAACCACCGCCACACCACCGCCACCTCCACACCACCACCACACCACCGCCACCACCATGCTACCACCACCGCCACTACCACACCACCACCGCCACACCACCACCGCCACACCACCACCACCACCGCCAACACACCATCACACAACCACCGCCACACCACCACCGCCACACCACCACCGCCACACCACCACCACCGCCACACCACCACCACACCACCGCCACCACCATGCCACCACCACCGCCACCACCACCACCGCCACACCGCCACCGCCACACCACCACCACCACACTATCGCCACCACCACGCCACCACCACCGCCACCACCACCACCCCCGCCGCCGCCCACCAACACCTTTACCGCCGTCTCTTATTGCGCGCCCTGCCGCCGGTGTGGGAATGACGGCAGCAGCCTTCACACAGCTCACACTTAGTGCTGACTCCTCCCCCTACTCCCCCCCTACCCCCTCCCTCCTCCCCCCTCCTTCCCTACCCTCCCTCCCCTCCCTCTCCTCCCTCTCCTCCCTCCCTCCCTCCCTCAACCCCCCCCCCCTCTCCTCCATCCTCCTCACCCCTCCTGTCTAAATAGAGATTTAAATGTTAACTTAAAGCTTTCGTGACTGCAGGAATTCACTTTCTTTGGGTCTTTCGGTAAAGCCACGTAGATAGGTTCAAAGAAAATAACAATAGGATACTTTTGTGATTTTTTTTGTTTTATTTGAACCTATTTACTAGACTTTACCCAAAGACCCAGAGAACAATAAATAGAGATTCTAATGGTTTCCTCTCTCTCTCTCTCACTCCGCAGGATCGCACCAATCGGGCATCCAGTGGGCTCGCGAGGCGATCCTGCTCCTCATCGACACGTACCGCCGCCACCGGGGGGACTTCGAGTCGCCCCTGGTGAAGAAAGTGGACGTTTGGAGACGGATCTCCAGCGTCATGGCCGCGAGCGGCTACACCTACAACCCAGACCAGTGCGATAAGAAGATGCGGGCGCTAAAGTTCAGGCACGTTTCTTACGGCGCTGGGCGGTGCTCGTCGTTACTCATAGACTCAGCACTGCACCATAGACTCAGAACTGCACCATAGACTCAACATTGCACGTTAGACTCAGCACTGCACCATAGACTCAGCACAACACCGTAGACTCAGCACTGCCCATAGACTCAACATTGCACGTTAGACTCAGCACTGCACCATAGACTCAGCACTGCACAATAGACTCAACACTGCACCATAAACTCCACACTGCAGCATAGACTCAGCACTGCACCATAGACTCAACACTACTCATAGATTCAACACTGCACCACAGACTCAACACTGCACCATAGACTCAGGACTGCACCATAGACTCAACACTGCACCATAGACTCAGCACTGCACCATAGACTCAACACTGCACCACAGACTCAACACTGCACCATAGACTCAGCACTGCACCATAGACTCAACACTGCACCATAGACTCAACACTGCCCATCGACTCAGCACTGCACCATAGACTCAGCACTGCAGAATAGACTCAACACTGCACCATAGACTCAACACTGCTCCATAGACTCAGCACTACACCACAGAGTCAACACTGCACCATAGACTCGACACTGCACCATAGACTCAACACTGCACCATAGACTCAACACTGCACGATAGAATGAACACTGCACCATAGACTCAACACTGCACCGTAGACTCAACACTGCACCGTAGACTCAGCACTGCACCACAGACTCAGCACTGCACCACAGACTCAACACTGCACCATAGACTCAACACTGCACGATAGACTCAGCACTGCCCATAGACTCAACATTGCACAATAGACTCTGCACAGCACCATACACTCAACACTGCCCATAGACTCAACACTGCACCATAGACTCAACACTACACCATAGACTCAACACTGCACCATAGACTCAACACTGCCCCATAGACTCAACACTGTACCATAGACTCAGCACTGCACCATAGACTCAACATTGCACAATAGACTCAACACTGCACAATAGATTCGGCACTGCACCATAGATTCAACTCTGCACCATAGACTCAACACTGCCCCATGGACTCAACACTGCACCATAGACTCAACACTGCACCATAGACTCAACACTGCCCATAGACTCAGCACTGCACCATAGACTCAACACTGCACCATAGACTCAGCACTGCACCATAGACTCAACACTGCACCATAGACTCAACACTGCACCATAGACTCAGCACTGCTCCATAGACTCAACACTGCACCATAGACTCAACACTACTCATAGATTCAACACTGCACCATAGATTCAACACTGCACCATAGACTCAACACTGCACCACAGACTCAACACTGCACCATAGACTCAACACTGCACGATAGACTGAACACTGCACCATAGACTCAACACTGCACCGTAGACTCAACACTGCACCGTAGACTCAGCACTGCACCACAGACTCAGCACTGCACCACAGACTCAACACTGCACCATAGACTCAACACTGCACCATAGACTCAGCACTGCCCATATACTCAACATTGCCCAATAGACTCAACACTGCACCATAGACTCAACATTGCGCAATAGACTCAACACTGCACCATAGACTCGGCACTGCACCATAGATTCAACTCTGCACCATAGACTCAACACTGCCCCATGGACTCAACACTGCACCATAGACTCAACACTGCACCATAGACTCAGCACTGCACCATAGACTCAACATTGCGCAATAGACTCAACACTGCACCATAGACTCGGCACTGCACCATAGATTCAACTCTGCACCATAGACTCAACACTGCCCCATGGACTCAACACTGCACCATAGACTCAACACTGCACCATAGACTCAACACTGCCCACAGACTCAGCACCTCACCATAGCCTCAACACTGCACCATAGACTCAGCACTGCACCATAGACTCAACACTGCACCATAGACTCAACACTGCACCATAGACTCAGCACTGCACCATAGACTCAGCACTGCACCATAGACTCAACACTGCACAATATACTCAACACTGCAACATAGACTCAGCACTGCACCATAGACTCAACACTGCACCATAGACTCAACACTACTCATAGATTCAACACTGCACCATAGATTCAACACTGCACCATAGACTCAACACTGCACCACAGACTCAACACTGCACCATAGACTCAGGGCTGCACCATAGACTCAACACTGCACCATAGACTCAACACTGCACCATAGACTCAGCACTGCACCACAGACTCAACACTGCACCATAGACTCAACACTGCTCCATAGACTCAACACTGCACCATAGACTCAACACTACTCATAGATTCAACACTGCACCATAGATTCAACACTGCACCATAGACTCAACACTGCACGATAGACTGAACACTGCACCATAGACTCAACACTGCACCGTAGACTCAACACTGCACCGTAGACTCAGCACTGCACCACAGACTCAGCACTGCACCACAGACTCAACACTGCACCATAGACTCAACACTGCACCATAGACTCAGCACTGCCCATAGACTCAACATTGCCCAATAGACTCAACACTGCACCATAGACTCAACATTGCACAATAGACTCAACACTGCACCATAGACTCGGCACTGCACCATAGATTCAACACTGCACCATAGACTCAACACTGCCCCATGGACTCAACACTGCACCATAGACTCAACACTGCACCATAGACTCAACACTGCCCACAGACTCAGCACCTCACCATAGCCTCAACACTGCACCATAGACTCAGCACTGCACCATAGACTCAACACTGCACCATAGACTCAACACTGCACCATAGACTCAGCACTGCACCATAGACTCAACACTGCACCATAGACTCAACACTACTCATAGATTCAACACTGCACCATAGATTCAACACTGCCCCATTGACTCAACACTGCACCACAGACTCAACACTGCACCATAGACTCAGCACTGCACCATAGACTCAACACTGCACCATAGACTCAGCACTGCACCATAGACTCAACACTGCACCATAGACTCAACACTGCACCATATACTCAACACTGCACCATAGACTCAACACTGCACCATAGACTCAACACTGTACCATAGACTCAGCACTGCACCATAGACTCAACACTGCACCACAGACTCAACACTGCACCATAGACTCAGCACTGCACCATAGACTCAACACTGCACCATAGACTCAGCACTGCACCATAGACTCGACACTGCACCATAGACTCAACACTGCACCATTGACTCAACACTGCATGATAGAATGAACACTGCACCATAGACTCAACACTGCACCGTAGACTCAACACTGCACCGTAGACTCAGCACTGCACCACAGACTCAGCACTGCACCACAGACTCAACACTGCACCATAGACTCAACACTGCACGATAGACTCAACACTGCACCATAGACTCAACACTGCCCACAGACTCAGCACCTCACCATAGACTCAACACTGCACCATAGACTCAGCACTGCACCATAGACTCAACACTGCACCATAGACTCAACACTGCACCATAGACTCAGCACTGCACCATAGACTCAGCACTGCACCATAGACTCAACACTGCACAATATACTCAACACTGCAACATAGACTCAGCACTGCACCATAGACTCAACACTGCACCATAGACTCAACACTACTCATAGATTCAACACTGCACCATAGATTCAACACTGCACCATAGACTCAACACTGCACCACAGACTCAACACTGCACCATAGACTCAGGGCTGCACCATAGACTCAACACTGCACCATAGACTCAGCACTGCACCATAGACTCAACACTGCACCACAGACTCAACACTGCACCATAGACTCAGCACTGCTCCATAGACTCAACACTGCACCATAGACTCAACACTACTCATAGATTCAACACTGCACCATAGATTCAACACTGCACCATAGACTCAACACTGCACCACAGACTCAACACTGCACCATAGACTCAACACTGCACCATAGACTCAGCACTGCCCATAGACTCAACATTGCCCAATAGACTCAACACTGCACCATAGACTCAACATTGCACAATAGACTCAACACTGCACCATAGACTCGGCACTGCACCATAGATTCAACTCTGCACCATAGACTCAACACTGCCCCATGGACTCAACACTGCACCATAGACTCAGCACTGCTCCATAGACTCAACACTGCACCATAGACTCAACACTACTCATAGATTCAACACTGCACCATAGATTCAACACTGCACCATAGACTCAACACTGCACGATAGACTGAACACTGCACCATAGACTCAACACTGCACCGTAGACTCAACACTGCACCGTAGACTCAGCACTGCACCACAGACTCAGCACTGCACCACAGACTCAACACTGCACCATAGACTCAACACTGCACCATAGACTCAGCACTGCCCATAGACTCAACATTGCCCAATAGACTCAACACTGCACCATAGACTCAACATTGCACAATAGACTCAACACTGCACCATAGACTCGGCACTGCACCATAGATTCAACTCTGCACCATAGACTCAACACTGCCCCATGGACTCAACACTGCACCATAGACTCAACACTGCACCATAGACTCAACACTGCCCACAGACTCAGCACCTCACCATAGACTCAACACTGCACCATAGACTCAGCACTGCACCATAGACTCAACACTGCACCATAGACTCAACACTGCACCATAGACTCAGCACTGCACCATAGACTCAACACTGCACCATAGACTCAACACTACTCATAGATTCAACACTGCACCATAGATTCAACACTGCCCCATTGACTCAACACTGCACCACAGACTCAACACTGCACCATAGACTCAGCACTGCACCATAGACTCAACACTGCACCATAGACTCAGCACTGCACCATAGACTCAACACTGCACCATAGACTCAACACTGCACCATATACTCAACACTGCACCATAGACTCAACACTGCACCATAGACTCAACACTGTACCATAGACTCAGCACTGCACCATAG